CTCCATTCCCCATGGTCTGCTTCATACGTGGCCATGAACTGTCACCAAGTGTCAGGCACCGTGCTGGGGCACTGTATGTGTCTCCTTGTGCAGTCCCCTCCCCCCAGCAACCCTGGGGATGGGACAGAGATGGGGACAGAGGCACTGTGATCACGCAGATGTTTGGGACTGTGGGACCCAGGACGGCACAGTGCAGCCCACAGCAAATAGTGCATGTCCAGCAGGTATGCCACGGGCTGACAGAGGGTGACCCGCAGGCCACATCTGACCTGGGGCCCATTTTGGATGGCCTTGCAAGCCAAGAAGGGTTTTGAAATGGTTGTAATAAAAATATGCAACAGAAACCAAATGAGGCTCTCAAACCTAAAATATTTACCATCCGCCTTTCTAGAATGAATTTGGCAAGGGCTGGTGTATCCTCTGCAGAGTCGGCTCCGATTCTGGAGCCGTTCGGCCTGGTTTCTGGCGCCTCTGCATCGTCCCCAGTGAAACGAGGAGAGGCTGTAAGATGCGGTGGCCTCACGGGGTTGTTTGAATTAAAAGAGAGGAAGAACAGACAACACCTAACTTCAAGTAGGCTTCTTTGGAAGTACTGGGGGAGGAAATTTCTGACCCTCAGCCAGCCTTCTCGACCCAGTGGGCATGAAAGCCCTGGCTCCAGGCCTCTGGCTGCCCCGGCCCCTCAGAGTGAGTTTCCTTTGGCGGGAGGGGAGGGACCTGCCAGCCGCCCGGTGGGCCGCATCCTGCTGGCGGGCTCTCTCTGCCCCCATTCCTGCTGACTGTCAGCTGCTGCTGCTCGCCGGGGCCGGGCACCGAGCCCACACCAGGTGCCGAGCGAGGCCCCAAGGTATCAAGCCTCTTCCACTTTCCCGACTCGGACCTCACACCAACCTGCCGGAGAGTACTGGTCACTGCAGGAGCCACAGCCCAGGGCCCATCCTCTCTGCGTGCATTTCCTCACTCGTGGGCCAAACAGGGAGACATCTGTGTTTCCCCAAACCCAAGCTTTTGGCCAGTGATTGCCTTCCTACTAGGGGGAAGGAAGAGGAAGGTAGTCCCAGGCCAGCCAGCCTCCCCTTGTGAAAAAGTGGTCAGTGAAACAGATTTTTCAGTGGATAAAGAGTGAAATGTAAAGATTTAAAAAAAAAAAAATCAAATTATTGAAAAGTCAAAAAAGAGTATTTCCTGATAAGATAGGGATGGGCTTTCAGTTCTTAGAAGCAGTAGAAGAAATTATAGAAGATCAGAATTTTACTACAAAGAAGGATAAAGCTTGTTTTATATCAAAAGACCCAAAACAAAATTTTAAGTCAAACTGAGAAAAAATATTTATGCTGGATATGGCAGAGAAAGAGTTAATATTCTTAACAATCTTTAAAACAAGAAGGTTCTTAACCAAGAACAATAACAAATATTTATATAATACTATGTGCTGGGCACCGTCTTAAGTACTTTATACATACTTACTGATTTAATTTTTACCAACAACTTTATCGTACCGGTACTATTGTCCCCATTTAACAGATGAAATGAACTGAGGCACAGAGATGCTAAGTAACTTGCCCAAGGTCACTCAGCTAATAAATGGAAGAGCTGGGATTTGAACCCAGACCATCTGACCCTTGAGTCTAATACTCGGGTCAGAAAGCCTTATGTACTAGACAGAAAAAAAGATATGAAGCAGACAATACACAAAAGAGGAAATACAAATATTTGAGAAACATAAGAATTATTTTTCAGTTTCAATGGCAGTAAAGTACCAATAAAAACAATGAGATGCCTTTTCTGTCTTCAAATCAGAGCAGATTTCTAAATGTTATAATAAGCCATAAATACGGGCCATGCTGGAGTGAAAGGGAGACTTCTGCAGGTAGACTTGGTTGTATTCGGGTGACCTTTCTGAGAAAATACTGTGGAAACACTCAGAACAGCCCTCAGGAATCTCAAAAATGCCATTTGATGAGGAATTTCCATTCTAATCTAATTTGAGACAGCAATTAGTTAGACAGAGATTCACATGTGAAGATGTTCATAGGAAGATTATTCCAAATAATGAAAAATTAGAAACAACCTATGCGTCTGATAATTGAATACAGGTTAAAGAAACTGTTGAATCTTCACAATACGCAATTAGATGGTCATTTTAAAGGAATTTGTTTAACAAAAATACCATAAGCAAAGTGAGGAGACAGACCATGGACTTGTGGGAGAAGACACTTAGAATGCACAGCACAGGGAAGAATTGTGTAAATAAAAGAATACACAAAGAAAACTTACAAATCAGTTAGAAAAAGGCAAACAAAGAGAAAAACAGAGGCCCTTCATAAGAAGAGGCAACTCAGGGCGATACACGGAGTGACAATCCCTCTCACTAGGAGTCAGGGAAATGCAGAATCATTCACTGTACTTAGCAGAATAGCAAGAGTTTAGAGGCAAAGATAGAGGGAAGCGTTCAGGCCCATCGCTGATGGGGCTGGACATGACCGCAGACGCTGTGGACAGCTGTGAGGCCAGACCGAAATCCAAACATGTCCACCACCCTCATGCTTCTAGGGACCAACCCTGCACAGACACAACTTGGTACAAGGAGACATGGTCAAGAACGTTCATGGTAGTGCTGCTTATAATAGCAGCAATATTCCTCTTGTTGTAGAATATGTACATTATACATGATATTGTGTAATAAAATAACAGTTCTCATTAAAGAACTGTCCATCAGAAGGGAAATGGACAAGGAAAATCTGACTTCTACCTAATGGGATACTATGCATAGTTGAAATAATGAGCCAGATCCCTAACTATCGGCTCAGATAAATTTTAAAAAACAATGCTCAGTGTGAAGAGCAAGTATAAAAAAGATATCTCAATGATACTATTTATGTAAGTCTTTAAAACAAACTAAAAATATTGCATAGTATTTAAGGACATATAGGAAGAAAGTGTAAAACGAGCACACCAGTAATGAACACTGGCTTCAAAAGAGTGGGTCTTTGCTGGGAGAAGTGGCTACAGGGCAAGAATGGGAGATGGGGGTTAAGCTGTATCTTTATGATTTTTTTTTTTAAGGGAAGGGTTGAAGCTGATACAGCAAAATGTTGACTAATGTTCTAAGTCTGGATGGAGTATGTGTCTTTTCTGTTAAATTATTTTTTGTACCTTTCTGGATATTGAACTGTTTCAAAATTTCAAACAATTTTTTTAAAGATTTTATTTATTTGACAGAGACACAGTGAGAGAGAGAACACAAGCAGGGGGAGTGGGAGAGGGAGAAGAAGGCTTCCCACCTGTCAGGGAGCCCGATGCGGGGCTCGATCCCAGGACCCCGAGATCTGACCTGAGCCGAAGGCAGATACCTGACAACTGAGCCACCCAGGTGCCCCTCAAAGAATTTTTTTAAATTTGCTTTTTGAATAATTTGCAGTTCTGTGGAGAAATATTTGTGTTATAATAGTAAGGGACGAAAGCAGGACAACATATGCACAAATATTTACAAATTTCACAAATTAAAGTTCTTGCAAGAGATTAAAATATTCATACTAGTGGCAAGACTCAAAGTCTGCTTTTTCTTTACACCCATCCATATTTTCTGTTTTGTCATTTTCCATTTTGTCATGAAAATGTATTAGCTTAATAAACTGGACAAATTGTTTTTAATGACTATAGAAAAATATGAGTGAGTTTGGCCCTGGGGAAGGGTCTAAAAGCTAGGAAGAGCGTGTACGCTGGGGTGTGGGCATCACTGGCTGTGGGAGAAATCTGTGCTTGAATGCTGGCCTGGAGACTCTCTAGCTGTATGACTTGGTTCATTCAATCTTTTACCCCATCCGTGAGCCCTTACTGAGCACCAACTGTGTACCAGGCTAGGGATCCAGCAGTGAATGGAACATACCCCGTCCTTCCATCCCTGTAGAGCAGACAGGCCGGTGAGAGGGAACAGTGCACACATCACCACACAAGTCATCTCTTCACTGCAGAGTGCCAGGGCCCCCATGAGGGGAGAGTCCAAGGGTGATAACAGGAATCCAAGTTGGACTGGGTGGCCAGGGACTCTGGCTGCAGAGCCACATTTAACTGGGATCTAAAGGATGAGGAGGGGGCGCCTGGGTGGTTCAGTGGGCTAAAGCCTGTGCCTTTGGCTTGGGTCATGGTCTCAGGATCCTGGGATCGAGCCCCACATCAGTCCCTCTGCTCAGTGGGGAGCCTGCTTCCCCCTCTCTCTCTCTGCCTGCCTCTCTGCCTACTTGTGATCTCTCTCTGTCAGATAAATAAATAAACAAAATTTTAAAAATAAATAAATAAAATAAAGGACGAGGAGGCCTGGAGCCCAGTAAAAAGAGTGCTTCAAGAGAAAGGAAGGCTCTGTGAGGCCTGTGTAAGGATGTGAAAGAAGGCAGGGTTCTGGAATGCAGAGGGTGAGGGAGAGAGTTGTGTCAGGGGATGCCAGCAAGGTAGTCAGGAACCAGATCACTCAGGGCCTTGTGGGCCAAGGAAAGGCCTTTAAGGACACGGAAAGTCACTGAAGACTTTTGAGCAGGGTACTGATGTGACCACTAGATCACCTACATGATCTATGAAGGTTGGGGTGGATGGTGACTGGCCCAGCTAGTCTGTTGGCTGTTGGCATGGCTGCACATGAGGGAAAATGGTGTTGGGCTCAGGGGATGGCAGTGGAGATGGGGGGGATGTGGAAGGGTTTGAAGTTGGTAGGTCTAGGATCGTGGTGGGTCGGGGCCGGTGGTAGAGGAGGTTACAGTGAGGGAAGGGCCGAGGAGGAGGAGGGCCAGGTTTGGGGCAGCGACAGTTGTGGCTTGGCAGGAGTGGGAGACACTGCTCTGGGGAAGCAGGGTGGAAGCAGGGGTGCTGAGCATGCCACCAAGTATGGTTGAGCTTTGGTTTCCTTGTGTGTAAACCAGGATTTATGGTCTCCCCGCGCCCCCAGCGTGAGCGTTCGGCCCTGTTCTCCAAACCTCTTCTAGAGCGGTCTTCTCTCTCTTTCTCAGGAGGGACATGTTACTCTTGGGGCTGGAACGAGCACGGCATGTGCGGGGATGGCTCCGAAGACAACATCTGGGCCCCGAAGCCCGTGCAGGCTCTGCGATCATCACTGGGACTCCTCGTGGGCTGTGGGGCTGGCCACTCGCTGGCCCTCTGCCAGCGGCCAGCCCTCCCTGAGTTGGGCCAACACCCCAAGGTCGCTGGCTCTTCCCCAGATGCCACTGAGGATGCTGAATCTCAGGAAGCCATGGACAAAGAGAGAAATTGGAAGGAAAGGCAACCAGAAGCTTCTGCCCAAAGCCAATCCGGCAGGTCCAGAAATGGGGGGCTTGTGACAGAGGCCCTTTAATAAAGTGACTTTTCCCACCCAGTGTGTTCCCAGAGGATTGCTTGGTCAACTTGTGGGGTTGGCCTGAGAAGGGCTGTGGAGGCACTGTGGTTGGGCTGACCATGGCCCAGAGCGATGAGAGGCCACCTGGCCAGTGTCTGGGGTTCAAGGACACAGACAGATGGGAACAAGGATCCTCTTGAGAGCAATAACAAGAACCCAAGTGGGTTGCCTGACTGGGGAGTCGGGTCTCTGAGTGACATTTAAACTAGAATTGCCAAAGGACATGGAAAACAGCAGGCTCCAGTCTGTCTTCACCTGGTGGGGACAGAAAGCCCAGCCCCATCCCCTGGGGTGGTTACGGTCCCCCAGCCTTCGATTCTCAGCGCCCGGAGCATTAGTTTGTTGGTTCAAGGAGACTGAGTCAGGCAGGTGGGTGCCGGGACAGGGAGCAGTTCTTGTCCTGGTGACTAGGTGAAGGGAGAAAGAAGAAGGCTCTGGACAGGGGGCTGGAAGGAAGTGGAGATAAGAGACTGGAGGAAGAGGCAGGACTCCTGGGAAGGCCTGACAGAGGAGACGGCTGGGACAGACAAGGGAATCTAGACCTAGCGAGCTCTCAGAAGATCGGTATCTCCATCCGAGCCAGGCAGGACCCCGGACCTAGTCTGTATAACTAACAGCTAAGCTGTGTAGTTTCCGATGAGGAGGGATAGGCCACAGCAAAGGCAGGGGAGTCTACCCCTAACCCCTGATATCTGCCTGTCTGCCCTCCTTGCCTCTGCAGGAGGGCTTTCAGGTAAAATGGGGACCAGGCCAGACCACAGGCCCCAGGCTTCCCTAGGTGGCAGCTGTGGCTTGGGGGAGACATAGTGCCTGTCTCTCTGCCTCAGAAAATGGCTTTCCCTGAGGGACTGTGTGGCAGTGTCACTAGCTGGGTAGCCCAGTCCGTGGCCTGTTCCACACCACCTTCCCTCTGTGACTCAGGAGAGGATTGGGTCTGTGAGGGCTAGGCTCTATGAAGTGACAAAACCCCAGGACATCAGAACAGAGGACCGGCAAGATGACCTAGCCTAGTGGCCTTCAAAGTGCATTTGTTAGAGCCATAGATGTCTCCTGAGAATTCAGTGGCCACCTGGGTGGGCTGTGAGTGAAGGAAAGCCATGTGGACGGAGGTCTGGGTCCCCACCCCCCACGTTATCCACAACAGCTTTATTTTCATCTGTATTCACACAGAATTGACAAGGGGTCCTTGAGAAAGTTTTGAAACCACTGGTCTTATCCAACGCTTTCATTATTCATTTGGAGAAACAGAGGCCTGTAAAGGGAAAAGGGTCACATACCTCACTCCTGGCCCAGGGTCCTGAGTGGGAGGTGACCCATACAGAGCCTTGAGCTAAACCAGGGGGGCAGACGAGGGGCACCCCTGGGACGAGGAGTAGGTTCAGCTCCGTGGAGTGGGGATGCCGACAGTCCTGAGCTCCCCAGGTCTGAACCTAGAGACCACCTACAGCCACTGGCTGTCCTTGGACACCAGTGCGTGGAGCCCTCTCCTGGTATTGTAGCCTAGAAAACAGCACTGCCCTGGCCAGCAGAGCCTTGGGTGCCCACCTCCCACAACCCGTAGAGGCTAGAACGGCCTCTAGGCACTTCCACAATGGGAAGGCCATCTCTGTGCACCTGAGCTGCTCTTGCCAAGGCTCCCACACCCTCAGAGATGGGGCAGTTGCATGGCCCAGAGATGACCCATCCTGGAGCAAGCCCACAGTTACTGCCGCCCCCTACCTCCAGGCCTACAGGCGAATGATCGGCATCAGACGCATCGGCCAGAAAACTGTCCCACCTCGGATAGTACTCAGGCCCATACTCCTAGACAGGCTTACTGCTCACAAGAAGCCAACACACTCTCTCCCGCAGCGTGGTGGCCTAGGGTTCCCTCCCGCCTCCGTCAGCACCGGCTGGAAGAATCCCCAGTTCCAAGTCTTCTGCTGAGCCCTGGTGCCTCTCCCGAGGCCCTCCCCGTGGGCATAAGAAGGAAGCGTCTCGGGGCTCCTTCCCAGCCTGGAACAGGGGCAGGCCTGCTTCAGACTGGCTCAGAAGCTGATTCAGACTGTTCTGGCAAGCCTGCGGGGCACAGACCATCCCCATATGGGGGAGTGAATGACTCCCAGCTCTTGACAACACCGCACACATTCCTGTCCCCTCCACTTCCTCCGTCTGCCTTCTCTACCGCAGCCGCCAGGCTTTCTGCAAGCCTGTCCACTGGGCCTGATGAGTGCCTGGGAGCTCCGGGGGCTGTCGACAGTGTCGCCCAGATGTTTTCCGGACCCTTTGATTCCTGTGGTCATTCTCAGACTTGTAGATGTCCATGCCCCTCATTCCAAATAGATCCTGAGCTCCTTGAGGGCCAGGGACAGAATCTTGGTGAACTCTGGAACCCCTTCACCGAGGATGGGCCCTGATACAGAGGAAGTGCCCGGTAAGTGTTCACGAAGGAACCGAGGAGCACACTCTTAGGGCCACCAGGGCTGAAGAGGCTCAACAAGGGGGTCCGATCCCTCACGCCCGCCTAGCCTCCGTTCCTCTCTTCCACGTGTGTGGGAACTGTGTTGTGCATTCTAACCAGTTGAAATTTAAGGTCAGTATCTTCCACCTGGTTAGCTAATGCGCCTTAGGAGGCAACTGGAGCAAATACCCGCTCATTTTAAAAAATTACTTCTTTTCGGGCGCCTGGGTGGCTCAGTGGGTTAAGCCGCTGCCTTCGGCTCAGGTCATGATCTCAGGGTCCTGGGATCGAGTCCCGCATCGGGCTCTCTGCTCAGCAGGGAGCCTGCTTCCCTCTCTCTCTCTCTGCCTGCCTCTCTGTCTACTTGTGATCTCTCTCTGTCAAATAAATAAATAAAATCTTTAAAAAAAAAAATTACTTCTTTTCTGATAGGCCAAGTAGATGGGCCTCCAAGTTCCTCCCGCGTGAGAAGGAAGGGAGCAGAAGAGGGGTGTGAGCCCTACGGTGTGCTCGCAGGTCCTGCGCCTGGCATCTGTGGTGACTGTGCAGTCCCCACGTTCCAGGTGTTAGTGGGCTGTTCGCATCCTCACAATCTGTCTGCCACACAATCCCCCCACCCGGGCCACAGGCACCCCCTCTTCCCTTGATCCCCCACCATCTTGGCCCCAGTAGCTGTCAAATCCAAACTAGATGAGACCGTGCTTCCAAAGGTGAATCCAGGCCCGGGGCTCAGAGGAAAGTGCTCTCCCTGCCCCCTACCCCGTTGCCCCCTCCCCCCGCCACCCCAGGCTCCTGCCACTTCCATAGAAAGAGACTTAGTAATAGATGGGAATTGGCAGTCAGCATGTTAGGTGGGAAGTGGTGGGACGGTCGGGGGGGCGCCAGGGCAGATGTTCCAGCAGGAGAGTGAGGTGGCCAGATGTGTGGAAGGTTCTGAGCAGCGTGTAAAGTGGCCACTTCCCTCATACCCGCTGCACTTCATGAAGGAAGGCAGGAGGCCAGGTCCTGAGTGCCCTGGGATTCAGGACCAGCCATGCTAGTGATCTTGTCCGTTCTGGGCTCTAGCCGCAAGAAGGCCCCAGTTAGCTTGAGATGGCTTCACCGGAGCCCTGGAGCCAGCCCACCTGGGTGAAAATCTTCCTTCATCTTTCCCTAGCTGTGTGCCGCTGGGCCAGTTCCGTTACCTCTCTGCACCTGTCCTCTTGCCTCTAAAATGGGCAGGTGGAATTACTGTGGGCTCTTTCCCAAACAAACCCTCCCACACCCCCCCACTCAGCAGACATTCAATGTATGTTCGTCTCCTTTCCCCATCAGCTACTCTGTCCCAGAAAACCCGCACTGCAAATGGCTTTGTGTTCAGCCCCCTTGGGTCCGCCAGAGGAACCAGGCTGACTCCCAGGCAGGGTGAACGTGATGTTCCCTGCAGCCGCTGAGGCTGCTTGGCTCTCACGTCCCGGTACTTTGGATGGCTGTGCCGCACACAGTGTGACTTAGCAGCTCTTTGGCTGCATGACCCTTTGGGCCTTATTGTACTCATTGCCCCACTGACCCCGCGCCCTTGGTTCCCGCGCCCCACGGGCAAAGGCTCCGAGGGGGCACGGCACTGCTGGAGGAGAATTCACGCCCACCTTCAGCCTCCCACCCACCAATCTGACGGCTGACCCGGGCCATGCTGGGGGCATCAAGGGAGCCGAAGTCCGGCGAGACTGACACCCACTTGGTTGTGGCCCTGGGAAGCCCATTCTCTGCATTCTCCTGTGCAGACCTCACTTCCTCATTTATAAGATGCTCAAAGGCTGACTGCCATGACCGCTAGGGACTTACCACCCGAACATTCCTGGATTCTCCAATGGATAAAAAAAGAATTGGAACCCAAGTCCCTCCTCTATTCCCCTTGAGAAACCAAGTGAACAACCCACACAAATCCAGATCCCTGAGAGAGGGCTCCTCGCCTTCAAGACGCCTCCCGGCTGAGTGAGATGCATGCAGTAAGGGAGTCTGGTGGACTGGACCTAGCAGGGTTCCACAGGGTAGGGCACCCAGACCTGTCAGTAGGGCCCCTGCCTCTGCCACCATCAGATGCATGAACGGCCCTGGGAGGGGGTGGCTAATGTCTGCACGGGGGCTGGGAGCTCTGACATGGTCAGGTTCAAGGACTCGTCAATATGGCATGACTCGCAGAGAAGTTTCCCCGTCACTGAACCCCACCAGAGGACATGCTCCTTTTAGGGTCAAGTCTTTGCTCCAAGCCTTCTGAGAACGGTCTCCCTCGCCACACCAAACAGGAAGAACCTGCTTTTTCCCAGCAGGAAGACAGCCAGCCCCTCGGTTTACCCCAGCCCAGCCCAGCAGGCCTGATTATAGGCACATCGCAACCCTGCCCAAGGCAATAAAAACCCGAATCCATGCTTCATCTCAAAAGTCAGCTTTTTATTATGGAGGGCCAAGGCCCAAGGAGGGGAGGGTGTTGAGCTAAAGCAGCATTGCTCTCTTTCCAGGAAATGTTGCGAGCTGCAGTGAAAGCTCGAGATGTTGCATTTTTTTTTTTCCACTCAAGCATGTGTTTTTCAAAAATATCATCCTTCCCCACCCCCCACCCCACCACTAATTTTAGAATCAGATCAAAGCCAAGCTACTGTCCTCTGTTTCTGTTGGGAAAATACTATATTTATTCAAGATGCAGAAGTGGGTCTCTGCAAACCTCCAATTGCTTCAGGAAAACAAATCTGCTTTAGACTATACAGAAACCATGATACAAAATTTATTTCATGCTAGAATTGCTTTGCATCACATTGGGCATGCAGTTTTTTACTCTGAAGTACTAAATTGCATACAATGCCAGGTTGTGCCTTAATAAAGGTGGAGGGGGGCCGCCCCTCCCGTGGTCCTGATTTTGGTGTTCTAAGGTAACACTCGGAAGATCCGCACGGTGTTGATTATTTACTATGAACAACTTGTTATGGGAGCTGGTCACACTGGGTCTACACACCAAGAAGATGATAGAATCAACCTAGACTAGCCGCTGTCAGGGGTCTTGGGGAGACGTCCGCTGGGTCACAAGCATGCCAGACAGAGAGGGAAGAAAGCAGCAGTGCACGTTTCCACAATTCTACTTGGAGCAAAGTTCTCGGTTTCCGCGTGAGAGATGAACTATGAAGGTGAGGTCAATATGACCGATGACTGACCGACTGCCCTTTTGGGAACCTTGACTCTCGAGCTTGTGTACAAAAAGGGAAGCCATCCATCCATTCCCAGTCCCCACCCCTACCCCCGGCCCCCAGAAACGTACAGGTTTCTACCAAACGCTGATACAGTCTGGCTCCAGCAACGTGTGTCAAAGTAAAGAGCTTGGAAAGAAAATAGAGGACTTTTTGCTTTTTTTTTCTTGTTGTTGTAGTTGTTTGGGGTGATCATGACAGTTGCAGGAGGGTTGGCGGGTTTGGTTTGCTGGGTTTTCTGTTTAACTTCATGCAAGTCATGCTAAGGAACCCCTCCACCCCCCGCCCCGAATAAAATAAAATGTAAAAAAAAAAAAAAAAAAAAAGAAAGAAAAAAGAAAAGAAAAAAGGAAAAGAAAGAAAAGGAAAGAAAAAGAAAAGGAAAAGAAGGAAAAGAAATCCTCTACGGTCAGTTACCATTTGGCCGTAGAAAAAGCTACGTCCGTCCTAGTACAAGACCTGGGCCACTCGGACTCGTCCGGCAAACCTGCATTGGCGTGAATTTACTCTGTCCGAGGGTGAGGAGGGGCTGCTGGTCCACCCAGATGCTTAATAGCCACCAGTGTCCTCGGCCAAGCCGCCTGGTCAAGTCACTCTCACAGCCTCTGTCGGCATATACTTAGCAATGACAGGGCTTTCTTTGCAAAGATCTGTATGTAAAGAATACAATTAACACTTGAGCTTCTCTTCTCGGCTTTCCCATCCCGCTTGGTACTTAGTTTTTAAGGAAGGAGGAGGAAAGACAGAGCAGACACATGCAGAGGCAGGCAGATTCTTCTCCAGCTGGCTTGGTTTTCCCATGCAGTGAGCCGGCCCAGCGCGCCTCTCTTTCTCCCTCCTGGGGACCGTGTCGGGTCCCTAACTTCCCTACTCTGCACGTGGCTTAGGCACTGCGATTCTCCGGAGAGAAGCAAGTCCTCAGCGCTGTCACGACTCCGTGAGAACAGGGCCGGGTGGATGTGGGTGGGGGCACTTCACCCTCGGTGCCTCCCAGAGACTCTGGCACCCCCGCTTCTGTGGGACTGGGGAGTGGGTTCCACCTGTGGACAGTGGCTGCCGCTGGGCTCCCTTGGCCACTACAGGGAGGTGGGGCTTCTTCTGTCCCACTCTCCCTGGGCTTCTGGAAGCACAGCGAAGAGACTCTCCTGTCCGCTCTTTTAGGCCACCCAGATTGAGCCACCATTCAAGGTGAAGGAGACAGGCTGCCCAGGAGACCTTACTGGGCAGAGCACAGCTACAAAGCCTCCCTGCTTTCCCCCTCCCTCCCTCTGGCCGCCCCTGCTCCTTGGATTCTAGAGCATCCCCCAGGAAAAAGCCAGTTGAGAAGGGGACCATCGGGCCTATCCACGGAAGGTGCCTGGGATGGGCCCGCCCCATGCCTGCAGCCCTCCCCCATGCAGCGCCATGCAGGCAGCTGTATAGGCCGCACTGGGGTCCGAGGGACCTCCAGGCAGGGCAAGGAAGCGGGGGCCAGCCTGGATCCGGTGGGCCCACTAAGCACCAGTGACCAAAAGGACTTCCCCATCTCAGTGTAGGCTGCCTCTCCTCTCCTGGGTTTGGGTTTGCCCTGGACTTTGAATTCTGTGTTTTCTCCTGGTGCATTGTTGAACCACTTCAAATACTGGAGCAGTTGTGAATGGCCACAGGCTAATCAGCTCTTGCTCTAGAAAAACCCACAATCTCTCCCGCCCAGCCTGCCCACTCCAGTCAGCATGCACCCCAAGTGAGCCCGCGAGGCACTCCCAGGCATGCATGAGCTGCCCAGCCAGTCCAACAGGCCCAGGATGGCTTCCTCTGCCTTTCAGGCCAATGCCCGAAGCCTGGAGCTAGGGTGCTCTGGGCCCCCGCCTCAAGCTTCTCTCCAGCCCAAGCTCAAGCTCTAGTAGAAGTCTCCCCCTACTGCCCCCGCCACCCTGCCTTGCTTGGGGGCAGTTTCAGTTAAGGGTCTGATACAAGGAGACCTTGAACGGAGGTCACTGTGGGGCTCAACCTTCACCAACCACAAGGGGGCGCTAACCACACCCGGGGAAATGACCAAGGGTGGAAGGTGGGGCACAGAGTCCTGCTTAACCTTCTCTCCAGGAGTTCTCTGCCACGGGCGATGTTCTGACTAGCACACATCTTATCTCTGCAGTGACACTGGCCTCACCTCAAGCCCTGAGGCCACCTCTGTCTTCATGTCTCCCCTCCCACTGACCTACAGATTCTCTTCAAAGGGTGCTCTTTCAGAACATGGACCTTGGGTGGCTAAGCCCACAGGGTCCTGGCCAGGCCTGGCCGACCCTGTTGCCAAGGGACAGGGGAGCTCACTTGGCATTCTTGGTCTCACCTGCTATCTCCCAGAGCAGCTTGAAGGAGTCCAGGCTCCTCTCATATCCCCACGAGACACCCTACCTGAAGGTCACAGCCCCGTGGTCATCCAGCCTGTCCCCAAGCCCCTTCCTACCCCTCAGCTCAGTTCCATCCCCAGCTGCGTGGACCTCAAGTGCTCTCTGCCAGCCTGACATCCCACTTGGGAGAAAGGGACTCGGACCTCCAGAGACCAACCCTGGGAGGGCTCCTTCTGCTCCTTGCCCCCACCCTGCGTGCCTGCCTGCCCCTCAGCACCCCTCCCCCGCCACCCTCCCGCCCACCTGCAGGAACGCGAGGCGGCCCAGCTGATGCAGAGTGCCCCCACCTCCCCTACATACCCTTTCTCATTCCTCCACCAGGTGGGCACGCGTACTCCCCGGTTGATAAGAGGAAGCAGGGTCCGTATCTCTCGCGGGTGCCCGAGCGAGTAAAGGGCAGGCCCTCATCAGGAGTGAGGGCCTGGTCTATGTGGGGGCAGTCTTCGTTCGCCAGCGCGGCCTTCGCCACCTCCCCATTCAGTTTGGAATCTTCAAACATATAAGCAGAAGCTATTGAGACACTGAAAACTGTTTAGTGGGGGAGGGGGACAGGCCAGAGGTGGGGCATTGGCAAAGGGCAGCCTGTCCCTAAGGACAGAAGAGCGAGTGGGCCATGGAGGGGGGCACGAGGCTACGGGTTCCCGGCTCATTTGGGCAGCCTGTGAGCTGCTCACAGTGCAGGAAAGGAGGGGCTCCTGGGTTTGCTCAAAGTTTGCAAAAAGATGAGTTGGTGATGGGTCCAGCAAGCGCGGTGCTGGGGGCCGAGCCCAGGGCCCAAGGCAGGGCCGATGAGACAGGGTGGTGTGGATGCGGTCATGGGTAGGGGGCCAGACACAGAGCTCAGGGAGAAGACAAACAGACACTCAGAAAAACTCCAGTCCAGAGAGGTGGCCTTTTCAGACCTCTTTCTCTTGCTGACCAGAACCTGGCTGCTGCCCACCCACATCTAGCAGTTCCTCAAGGCTGCCCTAGCCCCATCCAGACCCCATCTCTCAACTCTACCCCTCACTGGGATCCCACCTCATCACACACTCCACACTGTCCTCCACACACACCCTATCTCATCACTCATCCTGCCTCCCACCCATTTGGATTCAACCTGGTCACTCTGTATGTCCCCCACCCCAGACCAGGCCTGGTCACACAGTCTCCTCTGTCCCCACACAGACTCACCCTGGTCACCCTGTATGTCCCACCCCCCACACAGACCAGGCCTGGTCACACAGTCTCCTCTGTCCCCACACAGACTCACCCTGGTCACTCTGTATGTCCCACACCACACACACAGACCAGGCCTGGGTCACACAGTCTCCTCTTGTCCCCACACAGACCCAATTCAGCCATTGAATCTGCCCCATCCCCCACGCAGACTTAAGCTAGTCACTCCATCTGCTCTAATCCCCCACCCTGATCCCGCCAGCGCCCACCATCCTGTTCTGCCCGCAGCGGGCCTGGTCAGCTTGCAAAGGCACAACAGGGATGTATGCATGAGGCAGTGACAGCGGGCCATGATTCGGGAGGGCCTCCCATTCCTCTGCCTCCTCGCAGCAGTGTCCCGGCAAAGCAGAGCAGATGGACGTGTAAAGACAACAGTGGCGGATGGACTCGGGTGGGTAAAGAGGAGTCTTGGCCTCTGGGACAGCCTGAGAAGGAAACTGGGAAGAGGTCTGAGGAGACATTCGGGGGGGGGCGGTGGCGGGGGCAAAGCGTGGCCAGAGCAAGCAGCTCTCCCTCTCCCAAGTCCAGGAGCAGAGCTGTGGAAGCCTCTGGAGCTTGCGGAGGTGGCTCTGTCTGGCCTCAGCTCCCGCCCATCACTCTTGGGGACTGAGCCTGCCCCCTGCTCTCTGCCCTCAAGGCAGAATCTTCCAGGCCAGCGGGGAGCAACTCAGTCCCCACGGTGGGCAACATAATTCCCTCAAAGACTTCATCTGGGGGGAGATCCTCAACGGAAGGCACCACCAACATGGGTATGAACACAAGAGGGGGCTCTCTGAAAGACTAAAGGGGGACCCTCCTCCACGACCCTGTTCACATCATGTAACTACACGCACGAGTGATCCTTCTCCACGTGCACACACTCAGCGTGCCCGTGGGCGGGATCACGGCCCGTGTACACATCATGTCACTACAAAGAGGCAGTCAGTCAAAAGAGAAATGGACCAATCAGGTTTATTCGTAAAGCAAATCCAAAAAAAAATCCCATCATAATTTTGGAACTTAAAAAAAAGTCTGTCGTACAAGATGGCAAAGCATTTCACGTACAGTGCGTTTCTTGACAAATCCCAGGGGCTTCGCTCCCCGATTTATTCTGAACCAGAAAGGCCAGTTACCAAGGTAACTCTGACACCACGTGACTGGGGCCTCTCTGGGGTCTGGGAGCTGCCTAGCGCTTGGGGCGTGTCTGTGGGCACACACGTGTGTGCGCACAGACAAGCCCCGCCTGCCTCCCTGCCTCCCGGTTCTGGCTGGCCCCTGTCTTCCCTCCCAGGGGAGGGGCTGAGGGAGGAGGGCAGCGGGGAGAGAGGGAAGAGGTATCAGGGAGGTGAGAGTGGATAGGGGTGCGGGCTTGGGGCCCACAGTACTCGGCACAAATGGTCCTCAAGGGGAAAACGAGTCCTGGCCGACAGCCTCTCCCTCTGGGAGGGGAGCCAGGGTTTGCTGTCTCTCTGGGGGCCATCGTCTGTCGGTGGAGGAATCCACAGCCGGTGGTTCTGGCCCAGGAGTAGGTCAAGGGGTGGTAAAGCTTGACACCCCTCCTTTGGCCCTGAGTGCTGAGCCCCCACTTATCAGCTCTGCCCCTTGGTGGCCTGGCCCTGGAGGAACTGAGCTCCCAGGGCCTTTAAAGGGCCCCGAGTTGGGCTGGTTTCCCCTACTGGGGCTGGGGGCAGGGACAGCCATCAGGCACCTTTCTGTCCCTGGAAAGACTCCAGGTCACGCCTGGGGTCTGCTGCTTCTCTCAAGCACCACCATGCCCTTTGAGAGGAAGCTGTGACTAGGTGGGTGTATTTAGGTCTCGCTCTGCGAAGGAGCCAGCCTCCCAAGGCAGGTGGCTTATTTGCGGTTTGGGCTGCTCTCAGAAACGGGGAGCATTCTCCCTCCCCAAGTCGAGAGGGGTGGCTGGAAGAGAGAGAAACCAAGCAGGGGCCAACTCTCTAAATCTGGGGAACCCGTGAAAATGGCCAGAAGTGCCGGCTCCCCCACACCTCCCCGTCCTCCTGCCCCCACGCTGTCCTTTGGAGGAGAGGGCCACTGGGAGCCTTGGTTCCCACCTGGCCCCCCCACCGAAGACTGCGCACCTGGCCCCGGGCCCCTCGGGTCCCCCACACCACCCCGCCCGCCTGCAGTGATGGAATGACAGCATGGGCAGCGTCTCACGGAGATGGTTTCCAGGCTTTGAAATGGACTGAGAGAGATGAGCATCTGCAAGAGGGTCATTTTTTTTTAAACTTTGGAGCAAGGAGAACCCGGTGCCTGGGCCCTCGGCCAGCACTGCTGGCTTTTCCGCCCTGCTCTCCGGGCAGCGCCGACTACTTACTGTTCACACCAGCAGCGGGCGCTGGGGGGTAGGGGGGCGCCCGCTGGGCTGGGGCAGGGTGGGGGTGCTGGGCATTTCCTGGGTTTAGCCCTGAGGGGTCTCCCCAGCAGGGGGTTCAGGGGAAAAGTTCCAGGCTAAGTGGGGACAGTCTGTGAGAGACACGAGCGGAGTATAATCACGAGAACTGGCACAAGTCATGCAACAAAACGAGGAAAGAGAGAGAGAGAGAGAGAGACATGATTAGTGGAGAGAGAAAGAGAGAAAATGTGAACAACATAGAAAAGAACACCCATGCCTGGCCCTCAGAGCGGGTTCATTTCCCTACTGCTCCCCTCTTGGCCTGCCTAGGGGCCTCGAGGACCCCACTCCGGGCCCCCACTGCCCAGCCCGGCCCTCTAACCCGAGTAACAACTCGGTCGGCCCGTGCGGAGGGCCCCTGCCCACATCCTGTCTTGTCACCTCTGCCCGCTCCTGTCACCCTCCCTGCCCCTTGGACTCCCACCACTCCCATCACTCACTGTGGCCCGGCAGGGGAAGGCGGAAGGCCAGGGCCAGGGACGCTGCACACTCAGCTGCTCAGGGGGGAGCCCCCGTCCAGAGATGACCCAGAGGCTACAGTGTGTGGCTCCTGGGGAGGCCAGGGAGCACTTTCTCTGGGACTTCACAGCTGCCAGCTGCCCTCCCTGCCAGTGGGCAAAAAGTGGGTCTGGCCACCAACCCTCCCCCATGCCAGCACCCTGCTCACCTATGGTAGGACCCCGCAGCCCCAGACGCAGCACCACAAAGGACCAACCCATATCAGAGGAGCAGAGATGAGTGAGACACGCACGTGAATGGACATGGCAGGACAGAGGGAGCACTCCGAACTGTCCAGAGCAGGTGCTCTAGGACCCCGCCTCTAGATGGGGTGGGAGACCCTTTCTGGGAGACGAGCAGCTTCTCCTAGACCATCAGACCCAGGCGATCCCTATGTGGGATGCCCTCCTGGCATCCCCGCCCCCACGATCCCCACAGGACAAATCCCCCAAACATGGAGGCCATGCCTGCCATGGTACAGAGGAGACAGATCACCCCTCACAGACACACAGACCTAAGTCTTCAGGACAGACCGAGAGGTGGAGGTGAGGGGAGGTGTTGTTGACATGACTGGGAGGCCTTGAGTCCTTGGGACTTAAGGGGAGTTGGGGGTGGTCAGGGGTAGGGGATGCCCCAGAGCCCAGCAGGCTGCATTTAGCCTTAAACCAGATTCTAAAAGCGGAATTGGAAAACCAGATTTTGTTAAGGCCACCTGACTGTCCTTGGGGATGGAGCGAAGCTGGAAAGGCCTTGGGGGCTGTGTCTTACCTCTCTCAATTCTTGTAGGGTCAGGTCTCCACCCATATTTGCCTTCCTCACCTCTGCCCCTCCCCCCGCAACTCACAGATGTCCCCACACCCATCTGGGTATGTGGCTACAAGCAGAGAAGGAAGCAAATGGGAAGGGACCCCATGATGCTGAGATGGAGGTCCCTTAAGGACCACACACCTTGGTGACAGATCATCTAAGTCTCACACACCAGCTTTTGGAAGGAGTGTTCTGGTTAGGGAGGAGGCTCAGAGGGGTCTGGGAGCCAAGGTGGACAGGTCTAGACAACAGGACAGCACCTCCAGTGCAAGTGAGCATTTGGAAAGGGAGGGCGGGCAGAGTGTGGGGCTGGGGAGAGAAAGGCAGGATGGCCTGGGCATCTGGGCTCCTGAGGGCAAGCTTGGGAGGCCCCCAAATCCCTCCTCAGCCAAGGACTGACTGAGCCAGGGCTCTCTGGGTCCCTGAGATCTGGGGCCAGAGACCAGGAGGCTCTGGGAGCAGGGCTGCCATGGCTGGGGGGCCCAGGGGATCCACCAGGAGTGAAAGGGCTTCACGGGTCTGCTGCAGCACGGGAAGAGGGCTGTGTCTCTGGGACTAGCTGGTGTGCATGTCAGAACACATCTGCACTTGGTGTATGCACGCGTGCGTGTGCATGCGCGCACGCGTGTGTGCACCCTCAGCACATGGAGAATACTGGCATTTTCTAGGAGTGCAGAGGAATCTGTGCCTGACTAGAGTGAACTGGGGATCCTTGGTAGGCTGGCCTGGGCACCCTAGCTTGGGGCACTGATCCTGAGGGCCAAGTAGCGCCATAGGGATGTCACCCAACTTTGAGCTCTCCCTGCTGGGGCCTGGACTGAAGGTGTGGGCCAGGCCAGCCCCGACCCTCCGCAGAGCCCCAGGAACTTTCCTTGCCATGATGGCAGCTCCTGAAGTCAGACGTCCACCTAATCCAAAGCAGAGAGGCGGGGTGGGAACTTTCCGCTCGCCTGTGCCTCCCCTGCTGAGCAGGAGCCATGCCTTGGCCAGGGGGATGCAGACCTACCTCAGGCCCCCTGTTCCAGCATTGGAGACCCTCGCCCACCCCGTGGCCTGGCCCATGACACTAACCATGTTCTTCTTGAGTGCCTCGAGGAATCCAGGAAGCAGGGAAGGGTATGGGACCAGAAGAAGGGGCGAGAGAGCCCCCACGGGCAGAGAAGTGGGCCTCGGGGGTACTGCGCTAGGCAGCACAGGTGTGGAATGAAGCCAGATCTGGAGCGGGATGGGGTGGCGGGTGCGCGTCAGCAGGGGGCAGGAATGAGGAATCCCTCATCCGCTGGGGGAGGCCACCCACACCAGGGGAAACGTGCTCATCCAGGGTTGAACTCGCCTGCCACACCTGGGCACGGGGACATCCTCCCTAGACTAAATGCTACCTGTCACTCACTCAGCCTCCCTCACCCTGGCACCTCTTAGCTCAGTGTTGCCATTCTTCTCTGGGTCATTCATTTCCTTGAAATCCCTGTGTCCACAGAATAAGTCGATGGTATTCCATGGGTAGAGGTAGACTATGGGCTTTATATCTTCAGACCAGAGCCCCATGATCAACTTTATGTGCTATGTGCAGGTTCTCATAAAACTGAGATAGTCCCATAACAAACCACTAGCCATGGAATATGAGAATATATCCCACGGTGACTAGTATTGTTTCATGGCCCCCCTCCCTCCCCTCCCGGCCCCCCACTGAATTCACGGGAATGTGGCTGGACACTGGTCTGGTTGTCACGTATTGCTGCTGCAGTCCCTACTGCCGGACATGGGGAGGACCCTCGGTGGGAGGTGGCTGCTGGTCCGTAGTGCTTTCGCCTAAAGCTGCCCGGGATGGTGGCCCCCGCTCGTCCTTTGCTCACCAGCCGCTTCCATCAGAAGGCCACCGGAAACTCCCGCTCGACCATCAACCCAAACAGACAACGTGAAAGCTAGAGTCGCTCCAACAGGTTCCTAAAGATAAATGCTAAACTCTAGAGTGGTGGTAGAAGGTGAGTTTGTTCGGCATGCTGTGGGGTAAGTAAGCTTGTTACGGAGGGCTACAGGTGTCCCCGAGGACGCACCTGGAGCTAGGCAGCCGGAATCAGAGCAGGAGTTCTACTCAGCTGTGGAGACAGGCTCTGTTGCGGGGTGAGAATCCTTGCTACTGCCTTTGCAGGGACCCTCCTGCCCGATCCCCTGCACCAGCTGTGCTGTCTGCACAGCCTGAAGGGGGCCAAGGGAAGACCAAACCAGAAGCTATCTGGCGTTTCCGAATCACACCCACCCCTGCCCTGCCCCAGCCCTGGGACAGTGGCCTGAGTCAGAGACTCATGCTTGCCTCCTGCCCACCGAGCAGCAGCCCCCTGGGCTCCTGCCAAGAGAGTCCTCAGCAACCTCGCGGGCCATGTCGTCTCTTCCGAACCTCACGAGACCAGCGCGCCAACCTCCTTACCCAGGGCCGCCAGTGAGGTTCCTCCAGCAGGCTCTCGCCTTGTGAATTTGGCTGCCCAGCATCTCCCTGGGCTCCCGGGCTCCACACCTCGAGACTGAGTGCGGGGTCCCGGGTCGCCCACGGAACTAAGGAAGCAGTCTGACTGAATCTGGAATCATCGCTACGGGGGGCGGAGGTGAAAGGTCAGATCGACATGCCTCTAAGAGGTTTCCTACCTGCTCTGTTAATTTCTAAAATTTCTTCCTGGGCCAGCGGGCATGTGTCACTCTGAGTACTGTGGTGTGGAGAGTTTACGACAGATTTACAATAATTGGGAGATCCCAGCTGCGGTGGCCGTGGAATATGCTTCTTTTTTTTCTTTGGTAGTTTCTGCTTAGCCATGGCTAAGGAGTAATACATCCCAAAATTGTTCACGATGACGGGCACAGGCATGGCGATGGTGAGCACGCCCGCCAGCGCACACAGCGCTCCCACCAGCATGCCGGACCACGTCTGCGGGTACATGTCTCCGTAGCCCAGCGTCGTCATGGTGACCACGGCCCACCAGAAGCCGATGGGGATGTTCTTAAAGTGGGTGTGCTCACTGGCGCTGGGGTCATTGGGCTGTGCCCCTATCCTCTCGGCATAGTAGATCATGGTGGCGAAGATCAGGACGCCCAGGGCCAGGAAGATGATAAGCAGCAAGAACTCGTTGGTGCTGGCGCGGAGAGTGTGGCCCAGAACCCGCAGGCCCACAAAATGGCGGGTCAGCTTGAAGATGCGCAGGATACGCACGAAGCGGACGACGCGCAGGAAGCCCAGGACGTCCTTGGCGGCCTTCGAAGACAGGCCGCTCAGGCCCACCTCCAGGTAGAAGGGGAGGATGGCCACAAAGTCAATGATGTTGAGCGAGTTCTTGATGAACTCTACCTTGTTGGGGCAGAAGACCACACGCATGAGGAACTCGAAGGTGAACCAGACCACACATACGCCCTCAATGTAGGTGAGAAAGGCCTCGGTCTCCGCCTCCCGGTAGTAGCGCACTTGTGTGCCATTCCGGACATTCTCGATCTCTGTCTTGTTCACGATGGGGTTGAAGCGCTCGTGGGTCTCCAGGCAGAAGGTGGTGATGGAGACCAGGATGAAGAAGAGGGAGGCGAAGGCCACATACTGTGGAGGAGAAACACAGGGTCAGAGGGAAGCCCTCCCACCCAGAGCAAAGCAACCTGGGGTACCTTGGTGTTGGCTCCGGCCAAAGGCCAGGCCAGGGGAGGACGCCTGCTCGCCAGCCCCTCCAGCATGGGCCAAATGGACGGGCCACCTTTCCCTCCTCGGAGCACCGAGTTAGGATGCTCAGGGAGGTAAGAAGTTGGGGCAGAATTGCTTTGTTTTCACAAATGCCTTTCCTTTCCTCCTGGACACACAGCTCAACTCCATTTGCCAAGCTTCCTTGGGATGAGGTGGGGTCCCGTGACTGAGTTCACGGTCGGGGGACAGCACGTGAAAGGGATGGGTGCTAACGACAAGCCAGGCCCTTAGCACCTTTCCTCCCCCAGCTGCCGGTTACATGCTGATGTTCTAGGAGCCAGAAGGGCCACCACAAGGACGTAGCCTCGGTCCCTGAAAATAAAAATATCCACTAAGTACCTGAGTGGGAAATCAACTACTGAGGTATTAAGCTGCTGTGATTTGGGGGTGACTTAGTAAAGCACTTAGCCTACCCTGACTGATAAAAGTGACTTTGCCTGCTGAGGCTCAAGGTGGCAAAGGAATGAGACAGGGCTGTGATGGTGGAATTGGGCCCCTCAGTGGCCACATGGCCCAGCCCTCCTCTTCCTACCACAGTCCATTCACGCTCTTTTTCAGGAATGTGTACGTCACCAATGTAGTCTCTTTTGGGTCCTCTCAAGTCTAAAACTGCAAAGATAGATATCTGCCCCAGGGCCTTAGACAGCTTTTACGCCCACCCCCACCCCCATTCTCCTAGGAATTCCCACCACCAGCTTGGAGGTGAGCGTCCCATTCTTGGAGGTACTGAAATACAGGCTAAATGCTCATTTGTCAGGGATACTGTGTTGTAGGTCCAGTAGCAGAAGGACAACTGGACTGGGGGTCCGCAAAGGCACCAAAACTATAGGGTCTGCTTCTCTCCTGCTGAGTATGGTAGTGGGTGGAAGCGAGGAAGGAGTTGCTGGAGGGCTGGGGCTTTCTGAACATATGTGGCTGCCCCCTCTTCTCAGACCCCACCAGTGAGAAGGAAATGGTCAGGATGGCCCAGCCTGTCCAGAACCATCTGAGACCCTGGAGAAAGGTTCAGGAGCTCCTTTGGTTTGGTTTGGTGGCCCCATCTGATGACCCTGGGCTTCACTAGCCCCCAGTAGACCTGGGTACCTGAGGAAAGAGAACCGAGGAGCTATCTGTCCTGCTAGACTGAATTCCAGGCAAGGCCTCTTCTTACAGCCTCCAGTTGGGTCCCCCAGAGCTCTAGAAGAACCCCAGCCAGTCAGTTCTCCTCCAGGTGTCCAGTTGGTCATCCTTGCTTGCATGTTCCCATAGCTCCCCTTCCCTCTGGGGCCCCTTCTCCCAGCCTGTGTAAGATAGACAATGTCCCAAGCCAGTCCATCTTCTGGAAGCAGCCTTGGGCTACAGTCTGGTTGGGGTGACCCCTATGTTCTCCCTCTGTGAGCTCCCCTCACAGAGAACTTCAAGGAGGGCCAAGGCCCCATATGGTATCCACAACAAGAAGCAGCCATGCTGCTTCCAGAATAATGTAGTCCGCAGAGATGCACCCCCCCACCCCCCACACCTTGTGGTGGTCGTCGGTGTGGGGGCAGCATTGTCGGGTCCAAGAACAGCCCTGTCTGGGTTGACCATAGCCATGGGACCTGCCACATAATCTGGCATGGATCTAGAAACCGAGAACCATGTGGACCTTTCAAGGAACATTCTGGTTTGGAGGAAGGGGAGAGGAAAGGGGAAGCAACAAAGACAGCATTTTAGAATGTCAGAGTAAAAGAAGCCTTTAGAGAGTATCTGGTCCAAGACACTACATGCTACAGATGGGAAGTCTGGGGTCCCGCAGACAGGAAGAAGTCTCGGGGCCTTATGCTACGCTCATAGTTCTGTTGGTTTTAGGGCACTGTACACTTTTCAAAAATTTTATCCAGACTACTATCAAGTATGATCCCTGTGAATCCTTCCTTCTATCCATGGATGGATCCCTCCTGGCACTCATCTATCCCTCCTTCTTTCCTTCCTCCCCATCCCCTCCCTCCCTCCCATCCTCCCTTTCATCCTCACATCCATTCCTCTTTCTTTCCTCCTCCCTCCCTCCACTCCTTCCTTTCTTTTTCCTCTCTCCCTTCCCTCCCTCCCCCTTCCCGTTCACCATGCAGGCAATCATTCTTCCCTTCCCTCCTCTCTTTTCCTTCCCTCCTTCTTCCTTTACTCTCTCCTTTCCTTCTTCCCTTTCTTCCTTCCGCCTGCCTGCCCATCCATCCATCCATCCATCCAACCATCCATCCTTTCTCCCTTCCACTCTTTCCAGCCACCAGGTTATGGCCAGCAGAGTGGAATAAAGCCTCAGCCTTGGGGAGCTCCCTGCCCAGCAGAGAGTAAAAGACACACTCAAGGACAAGTCCAATGCAGTGGACTGAAAAGAGACTCTCCCTCGGGCCCTGAAAAGCAGGTGGGGTTTGGACAAGGTGGAGCAGGGTAGGGACTAAGCCGGGTCTCCCAACTCCAGAAACAGCTCTCTAAGGGTCTGGATAGGGGAGACCTGGCTCACCCCAGAAGTGGATTAGGAAAGCCAAGTGGCAGCAACTGCGAGTGGCCACCAACTCTGACCCACGTTTATCTAGCTCCAAAGCTCCTGCCGTCACCAAAGTGGCCAAAGCTCCTAGAGCTAAAAATGTCTTCCAAAATGCTGGTTATTTGCCTCCAGGTTTCCTCGCAGTCCCCAGAGGCCCGGTCATCGGGCTTGGCACTCACCGGATCCCAAAGGGCAGTTCCTGCCCCTGCCCTGGGCTTTTTGAGGCAGGAGGACATGCACAGCTGAGGAATGTGGAGAGGCGGGGCACCCTGCCTCCCTGAGCTCCCCATCCTAACCAATGACAGGAGGCACGAGGCACCCCCCTTCACTGCCCCATCAGCCATGGCCTCCTCCTCCCAAACCCTCCCTCACCTGTCCTCCATCCCCTCTGCTCACATGTGATCCTCGCTCCATAGGACCACTACCATCAAAGTCAGCAGGCTTCCGGCATAGAGTCCAGTCTCCATACAGCTACCAGAGGGAGCGACCCATTGGCATCCCAGCCCTCTGCCCAGGCCACCGGACCATGCTGCCCACAGAGAGGAGCCCTGACACAGGGGACGCTCTGCACCCGGCCTCCCCGGCCCGAGAGCTCACTCCCTACCCGCACCCAACATTCTCGCCATACACAACTCATTGCCATTTCTGACCCCCTTCTCCGGGTCTCCCAGTCTCTGTGTCTTCATACCTCTAGAAAAACCCATTCATTCCTCAGTGCCCCCACTAAGTAGCCCTACTCCTGGGACCCCTTCTCCAGGTGAGGCTCCTCTTGGAGCTGAAGCCCTAACGAGGCAGCAAATGAAGGGACCCCCCAAAGACTCTCTAAATTCACCCCCAAGGAGGCAGCAAACCTGTCTCCAACACTGGCTCATTAGTGCTTGGGGAGGCTCATGGGAACAGCCCCAACAGGGCCCTGATGTCCCAGGTGCCTCCGCCGGCCCGCAGAGCTCTCACTCCACTTGCCCCTCTCACTTGAGGCCATGAAAGAGGGCGGGTCTTACACAGTTAGGGTAGGAAAAAGTATTGGTTCTTAGCAATCCATGCAACATCCTGCCTAGATTCTTTCCTCTCTGGGCCCTAGTGCCCAGGGAGTTGGCAGGGGCAGGGTGGCAGTCCAGCCCAGCCCAGAACCTGGCACCAAGACTAGGGAGGAAGCAAGGAAAGTGGCAGCCAGGCCTGCCACCCAACCTCACCTTCCCGGGCACCCCCCTGCCTGATCTCTGCTGCTGGTAGGCCTGGTCCTCGGCCACAGGCCAAGCCCCAGGAACATCCAGGCCCTCAGGAGGGCCCCTAGGAGGGCTGTAGAGACCAGTGCCCCTGGCTTGCTCAGACTGCCATATCCTCGTATGCCCAGAGACCAGCAGGCCTGCCACAGAGCACAGCCAAAGGGAGAGCTCACCTCCAGCTGAGTCCCAGCTCCCTTTGGTCCGTCCTCAGAGAAGCTGAGCACAGGAAGGAGGGGGCAGAAAGCTTCCAAAGCTAAGGACCCACTCGGCACCATTAGTCCTCTCTCCGACCTAATGAGATAGGGAGTCCTACCCTACTGTGCCAAAAAGGAAACCCAGGTACACAGAGGTCAGCGACTAAACCAAGGGCTCAGAGCTCATGATGAGGCTGAGGCTAGGACCCAAGTTCATCTAGCTCTAGAATCGAACCTACTTCTACCAGCAGAGCTGCCAGCGCACCTGGGTGGTTGGCCCTGTGTTTGGACGCCTCCATCCTGGAGCTTGGCACCCACAGGTCAGACTCCCTGAGGGCAGGTTATGCCTATCCCGGTGAAGGAGAGAACTGGGCCGCCCGGCCCCCCAATGAATTGTTCTTGGGCCGGCCCAGCTGCCTAGGACTTGCTCGCACCCGGGACAACAGCAGCCCAGGGATAGGGAGGCTGCCCCCAACCTCATTCAGGGAATCACCACCAACAGCAGCCTTGGATGGGCTTGCCTGTGTCCCCACCTGGCCACCTCCTCACACACCCAGAAAAGGGCAGGCTGGGAGATGATCCCAACTTGTTCAAGGGGCTCAGCCAGAGGGACTGGGCAAGTGCGTGGGGATGGGGCATTCTTGGGGGTGGCCGAGCCTGGCGGAGAGCGACGCTGGGAGCCACATCTGCAGCAATCCCGGGTCAGCAAGGGGCTGAAGGCAAGGGCAAGGGCCGCACCCTACGTGAGCCGTCTGCGTCCCAGAGACCGCGGACACACACAGCTACCCAGAGCACACCCTTCACCCCTTACCCTAAGCGCATTCGCCGTCCATGCAGCCACACAATCTACAGCCCAGGGGCCTGACTGCACATCTGGAGATGACACAGGGGCCAAGGGGCTGTATGGAAGCATACCCACAGCCCCCCACAGCTCTGGTC